ATTAAATTATTCTAAAATCTTTTGGTTTAAAATAAATCTTTTTATCTAATGTTCTTTATCTTTAAGTATTTCTTATTTTGAGTATAAGTGAGTTTGCTTACGTATAACAAAACTCCCATTTATCTATTTAATCTCTTTAAAATACCTGGGCCCTCAGACTAATTACGGGAATTTCCCTGGGCCTTTTGCAAAGATCGAACGAGACACTTAATGACCACACTCGAATTATCTTTTACAATCGTTAAAATTTAAATAAAATTATACTCAATTTTTTATAATTAATAAATATGTAAAGAAAAATTTCTTTACATAACATTTTAAATGCTTATTTTTTTTTTTTTTCACTTCAAACAATTTTAAAAGTTTTCATTTAATTCATCTTAAGTCGTCTCTATGTTGTCTTTTAAGAAGTTTTTCTAATTGTTGTCGAGGAAATCTATGGGGTTAAAATATATCAGCAACAGATAGTTTTTAAAAATTAACAGTTTGTGCCGTTTGTAAATTTTTTGCAAGTATTTCTCAATTTTTTCAATTTTATCCTAAATTTACCAAAATAATTCGTATAAATGCTCTTAAAAATTTTATATTTTAACTTTTTAAATACTTTAAGATTAATAGACAAGATACTATAATCACCATTACCCGTGAAAAAATATTCTGATCAGACTTGTTATGTCCTGATATGGCCATATCAAAATTTTTGATATAATTATATCAGGCCTGATATTATCTGATATGTCCATGTATAATTTTTGGTAGGTTCTGATATAACCTGATATGACCTGATATGCAAATTGGCCATATCAGGCCTGATAGTGCTTGATCAGGCTTGATATGGCTTGATCTGGTTTGATATAATTTGATCTGGGCTGATATAATTTGATATATTTATAGATAATTTATTGATATATTCTGATATGGCTTGATATAATTTGATCTGCCCGTTTTCTTATTTTTTGATATGTTCTGATATAATTTTATCAAGCCGGATCTGACTTTTAATAGTATCAAATAAAGCCAAATCTGAGTGATAATTTTGTTATACAGTCACTAGGTTTTTTAAGTCTAAGAATCGGCAAATTTACATTTTTAAGTTTTTTTAATTAATATATTTTATGGCAGATTTACGGTATAAATTATAAAAAAGGTAAAATGTATAAATTTAAAAAAAAAATTTCGAAGTTGCTCTAAAAACTCTTTATTTAATTTTGTACTGTTCAATTTTTTCACAAAATATTTTTTAATTGAGAAATTGATATTTTTGAATTTTTTATTTATAAAATTAATTTTTTTATCAATTAAGTAAAAATAAATGAATTTCATATATTTTTCGAATTACTCAACATTTTTAAGAAACTTTAAAAAAAAAAAATTACTGTTGTCGTAGAACCAATCGGCTACCGTTTTTTATCTGGTTTAAAATTTATAAAAATTTTTTTTTTATTTTCTAAATACAATATGAAATTGATATTATTATTGTTTTTCATGCAATATTATGTCAAATGAAAAAATCTTTTGTGTATTATTTACATTTTTATTATGAAATTTAATTTTCAGTTATTTATTGATGTATTATTGAAATTATTTGAAAATTTTGGAAAAAATTAAAATAATCAATGAAATATTATAAATCTGACAACATATTAATTAGTTACTAAGACTTCGCCATGGAGCAATCACATGTTCCGCACTGTCAAAACTAGTATTAAAAGTCTTCGGTAGATGGCGCATGGTCGCGAAATTGTTCTTTTCTAGATACTTGACTTTGAAGTGTTAAGTTCCAAAAAGAGTAAAATTTTTTTACTCCATTTCAGAGTTTACCTGTTTTTGAATAAAGTTGAATAAACAACGAAAAATACTAAAATAAATTTCATATTAACTTCGAATTAGTGTTATAAATATTTTTAATAATTATGAATAATTTATAAATAATTAATTAATTAATAATGAATAATTTATAAATTACATTAAAAATTTTGTTCATCACGAATCGATCATGTATACGATTTTGAGTACTTATAGTTATTACAAATTCTGAACTTCAAGTAAGTCTAGTAGGTAAACAGGTAGTGAATCAGTCTTCCAAGCATCAGGTCCCAGGTTCGATTTCTGCCCACGCCAGATATTTTTATTTCTATGGAAATAATTATATATATAATTCTATATAATTCTATACAATTATATATCATTTCTATCCAATTTTATCGGGCCATTTTTTTTATATAATTATATATAATTTATACATAATTGTATCTAAATATATAAAATCTTTTTTACTCGGGTGGGGCAAAACAGTCAACGTTATTAACTATTAATTTATCTTAAGGATCTAAATTTGTCTTATAGTATCTTTTTGCACATATGTTCAATATAAATAAATGTAAATGTATATTTTAAGAAGAAATCAAAATATATTTTTAATTCGATAAATATTAATAAATTTGACTGTGAAAAAAAAAAATCACAGATATAAAAAAAGTATATATATTAGAAAAATGCGTATAATATATTCACAAAATAATAATAATAATGATCTCATATGTGTATTTAATTCATAAAAAAATTGTAATTTTAAGAATTAAGATTTTTTTTTACAATTCAAAAAGTTATTTTTTAATAAATATAAATCTATTAATTATAATTATAATTAAAATAAAAATAAATGTAATTATTATGCATTTAAATTTTTTATCAATAATTAATTTATAATAATTATAAATTATAATTAAAAGTAGAAATTATGGATTTAAAAACTGTGGATAGTTTAGAAAAAAAATAAATAATTTATTTAACAAAAAAATTACAATAATCAATTATTATTACTGATTAATTAACATAATAATATTTAAGTCTTTTATTATTAAAATTTTAAATCTAATTTAAAACCTAGCACAAAATAGCATTAAAATGAAGTATATATAAGTGTCAATTAAGTTTAACTTAATTTAATGTAATGAAAAAATTGTAAAAAGTAGTTCTTATTGCTGTACAATGTCCAAATAATTTTATATACTTAATTAATTTTTGTTTTGATGCTTGTAAATTTTATTTTTTTTATAAAGAATTAAGATTTTTTTTTTTAATGAGTTAATTGTTAAAGTTGAAAAATATTATCAATTATTTTATGTTTGAATGTGATTTTATATAGTCAATAATTTTACAAAATATTGTAAATTTATTTTAATTATAAATTATTACGTAAATAGTGTTTTTTTTATTGATGATTTTTATAAATAATATAAATTTTAATTTATGTTCAATACTTGTTATCATACAAAATTTTAAGTTTTATTTTAATAAATAAATATTAAATATAATTTAATTTTTCTATAATTTTCTATATATCCTTAAAGATTTATTAAAGGTTTGAAATGAAATTTAATTTTAATTGAAATAAAGATCTTTATTAAAAACAATGTAACAAAAACAATAAGCTTTACTTAATTAGAACCCAAAGTCCCATAAATATAAAATAAATTATTATTGTAATGAATAATAATAATTTACAATTAATATCACATTTAGCAATATATTTAAGTCACTTCTAATAATTCACATAATTTATTAAACATAATATTTATAGAAAACGATTTAATTAATTAATTAATTAGTTATTAACCATTCTACCAATTTCTATAAGAATATTCGTTGAATATTTTTCAATAGTTATCATTATTATTTCAACTATTAGTTAACTCGCGACATTGAACCGCGACTTGACATAATCAGTCTATAAAAAAAAAAAAAGAAATTTATGAAAATTTGCAATTAATTTATGAAATTTTGTATACTTACACTAACAAACCACAACGAATTTGGTCTAAACATTTGCCGCTTCAAGAAATTCATATTTTCCACTGGATAAATTACGTGTAAATGCAAATGATTTACAGTATTGAAGGGTGGCCAGTGGAACCCTGTTCTAGTTGATCCAAGATCTAGACCTTGTTGTGCTGCTACAACCTCTACAGTGTCTACTATTTTGTCAACTGTAATTATATCAGTAAATTTACAATAATTCTTTTTTATTACTTTCAATAAATATTGTAGATAATAATAATAATAATAATAATAATAATAATGATAAAAAATAAACAATATTATTAATAATAAATATGTTAAAATTTTATAAACAAAAAAATAAATAATATTTTTAATGAAAATTAATAATTTGTAAAAAACAAAAAAACTGATTTCTAGAATTTAAAAAAATTGAAACTTAAAATAATAATAAATATGTTGAAATTTTATGAATATAAATTATTTCTTTTAATTTTTTTAGTGAAGTAACAAAAAAATAAATTAGATTTTTTAAAAAAGTTAATAATTTATAAAAAAACAAAAAAAAATGATTTCTAGAACTTGAAAAAAATTGAAACTTAAAATATTAATAATGATAATAATAATAATAAATATATTGAAATTTTATGAAAATTTTTAGTCAAGTAACAGTAAAATAAATAATATTTTTAATGAAAGTTAATAATTTATAAAAAAAAAAAATAAAAAAACTGATTTCAGAAATTAAAAAAAAATTGATACTTAAAATATTAATAATAATAATAAATTACACAGTGGTTCATCCTCCAATTTGAGTTCTTTAGCATTAGCAATATGATTCTTAGGAATTATTAAATAATGATGATCTGATGCTGGATTAATATCCTTAATACAAATTAGGTCATCGTCCTGCAATCATTAATTTTCATAAATTATTACGCAAGTGTAATGTAAGTAATAACTAATAATTATGCTTAATGAATTTATATCAATAAAACTGTGTAAAATAAAAATTAATTTACCTCATAAATGCTCTCAGAAGGTGACTCCCCTTTAACGATCTTACAAAAAATACATCCGTCTTGAAATGTAGCCATTTTACAATTTTACTATTTAAAATAAAAATTAATTATGTCACTCGAATAAATTAAATTTACAACGAATTGGTTAGAAATCAAGAATTATAATAAAATTTATATAGCTGCGACTATATACGTCTAGACATTTCTCGATTAACTTTGAACCTTTGATTCTTTAACAGTAAGGACTAAGACTTTAGTCTCTTTATTGAGCACTCCAAATTGATTAATGTCAAAATAAAATTTACGATAAAGTTGTTTCCGAGAAAAAACTATCAACTACGTGGAAATGGACGGAAGAGGTTCACCTCTTTTTCATAAGTCGATAGTGCACAAGCTGGAAGTAAATGTTAGATAGAGCCACTTTCTCATTAGGGGGGGGGGGGAACTGGACCGATTTTTTCCTTTAAAATTATTTTTTTTTTCTCATTAAAAAAGAGAACTATTGACATTTTTAAAGATATAAGCTCATCCTGATGTTACACTCATCAAAAGCTTTCATTTGAGTACCCACATGCATTTTTGATATATTTTTCATATATACATATATATAAAATATATAAATATATGAAAAATTGATGTGGGTACTCAAATG